AAAAAACAAAGCAACTTAACAACTAAATTGAAAGAAATTTTATAATAAAGAAACAATAATAAAGCTTTTTTTTTTTTTTTTTTTGATCTGTGTGTGTGTGTGTGTGTGTGGTAAAGTTTGTACCCTTTTGATCATAATTGGTCTTACTTCATAATTACGGTTCACTTTTAATTTGTAATTCTGAACGATCTTAGATTTTTAAAGTAGGATCTATAATCTGAAAAAAACCCTAATCAGAAAGCCGAAGTCTCGAAGAGTCCGGATTACGATTGTTTGTATAATAACCGGGGGCTATAGGATCTTGCTTCATTTTAGTGTGGTCTGGTCATAATGCTAATGGCTGTCTGTAATGTTACTGTCGCTTTTACATGAATATCTGGTATTTTTTAATTATTGGTTGACAATCATTAGTGTAATTTGCATTGCAAAATGATAAGGCACGATTTGTTTACAAATGCCAATCCATTTATACCCCTGTTAGTTAAGGTTGGTCCTTTTGTGAAACATTAGTGGCTAATATAATATGTTTTTGGCATCCCTTCTTTTATTTTTTGGATATTTTTAGGAGTTTCAATTTCCCTATTTTCTTATATCCTTTTTCAAGATTTGAGTGTCGCTAGCAGATTGTATGTTCCGCCAAACAGAGGCAGAGTATAATATAATGGTACTCAAGGAACAGATAGCTCGTAGCCAACAGGCTTCATAAATTTCATTGTATAATGTGTATATTGTATTTGATTTATGTATTAAATTTTGTAATGAATCTCTGTTTTGGTTAATTTTGGTTAAATTCTGTACACTTTAAAACTGATTAGTATTCTGAATACTTGTCTTCGTCCTTATGAGATATTTTTATTTTTATAACAGAAAAATTTTGACGGTATTTGACCTTCTCCGAAAATAATTTTCAGGTTTTTTTATTATTATTTTATTTCACTAAACAATCTTTAATTGAAAGCGATCATTGATGTTTTTACAATAACAAAATGAAAAGTAAAAATTGAACAAAGTTTCTAATTTAGTGTAATGTATTTGATAAATGAGGGTAATTCTAGTGTAGTATATAATATCTTAGTTGTTATATCGGTAACATAAAATATAATGATCAATGTTAATAGTGTAACAGTCCTTTAAATAAACTCTGTGCTAATATATTATAAATGGGACTACTGTAGCAATACGGGTGCCCGATCCAATGACTCAGTTTTCATTCAGTAAAAGAAGTGGGTTAACCGATGTTGTATCAGACTCTGTCGTACTTATTTTAAAGTAAATGTAATGTCAGGTGGACTAAACCTGTTCATAAATATTTTACCCTATAAAGGACTCTTTAGACCCAATCCCAAAATGCCTCCCCCACATAAGACGCCATGCTAAGTTTAAATTGATAATTTTGCTGGCTTTTGTAGTTCTTTTCAGAAAAGATTGATCCACCCATTGGATCCAGCTCCTAAAACTTTAAGTAAAGAATACCTCACCTGTCGGGTATGAATTTTTTTTTCTGCCGCTCATGGCATGCATTAGTGTCACATATCTATTTTCCTTTTAGGAATTTACCAACCATTAATTGCAATATAGTGTTTATACATCTAATAATATAGAAATGTTGATTACATAGACGCTGATCCATAAAAAAGAAGAAGAAACAATTATGATATAGATTAATATTTAAGCCGTGGTTAGATGTAAATATTCATTTTTGTTTTAATTGACATTTGCGACCGCAAATTACTTAACACTTCCATCATGCATCTTTTAAAACATTTGCATTTTTGATGTCGATGCAGTAAGAAGAGAGCAGCACAGTAGCATGTAGGCTGAGAAAGCGAGAAGCATGTGCATCATAATTCAATAATTGTAGGCATATTAGGAAAGCAAAAAAGTTTGGTTTTTCTATTCTCGCGTTAGCTGTAAAAAGTTTGATATGGTGGTTGACTCAGTGTGATTGTTTTTTAAAGATGGAACCGGGTTCCCAATGCTGCCTTTCAAATTTTAAGCTTTTTGTATGTTTTTCAAAAAAACGTTTTTTCTTTCTTCAATTAGAATGTATGGAATCATATATGTTAGCGCATAAATTCAAACAAGGAGGAAAAAAATTCCAGGAATAGTATTAAAGAAAAAAAAAATGACTGACCTGGTGTAATCAGTACTATTAATATTCAACCTTCGTGAATAAGTAATTGTATATACCAATATCTTTCAATCTTACGCAGGATTATGATCCAAATAATAGTTCATCATAGTTTTGAGGTGTTTATATTTTATGTTTTAATATCAAATTTTCATGTCTTTATTTGTTTTTTTTATCCATTTTAAAAGTTATAAAACACCAATAGCTCACTCTGGTTTCTGTTCCTGATGCTTGAATATGCTTAGCTGTATAAGCCCTTCATTTTTGAAGTATACTCCTTGTAAATATATGCCCCTTACCTCAAAATGTTTTCATGAAGTCAGCCGGTTCCTGTTAGAGAAGCCATTCTTATGGGTTTGTCATAATCAGGAATCACTGCATGTAATATTCTTATCATAAAAAAATTGCCTGTGGTTCTGTTTTATTTGAGTGAATAAAAAAAAAATCTTTGTCTTTATATATTCTTGCTTTCTTAAACTCCCTAAGCACTCGAGAAAATACACCCTTTTGCAAAAAAAATTGAGAAAGCACCAAGAACTTACAACAACAAACGGCTTTCAAACATGGCGCTTGTAGGGTTGCATGAAGTGGTGTAGTACAATTATAGGCCCCACAGAAACGCTGTTGGCAAAGATAGTGCAGAGCAAGGATGCAAAAGGAAATTGCCGACGAAATGAAGGGGAACAGGCCAAGACGCACAAATGCAAGGAAGATAGAGGATTGTTCGCTAGGGCCGAACCGCCCCAATGGTATCATCGTTGACTATTCAACGCATTATAGCCACGTCTGTATCTCCTGTGGTATCGTCCACCATCTTGCGGCACTGTTTGAGGCATGACTACAGGCATATTCTCACAGAGGCTTTCGATGTTTGCTTGACCCTACAGCTCCGGAGGAGGATTCGTCTGGAATGGTGTCGTTGGACTGGCATCTTGTAGTGTTCAGCGATGAATCCCGCTGTACTCTTGAAGCGATGCCACCATGGTCGTGTCTGGCGGAGGACTGGTTCCAGCCAGTCCATCATGAAGGTACCGACCTTTCCCAATTGCGCATGTCGGAAATGGTGAGTTGCAGATTCGGGCATCACAAAAATCACAGATATGGAGCGACAACGAGAATGCCTCGCAGGATGCATTAGGACCCTCTACCACTTCTTTTCGAGGAATTCAACAGATTCCGCCACAGAGTTCGACCAATACTAAAAATGTGTCGAACACTGATGGGTACTGTGAGCCATGCAGTACTATCCTTGAGTTTTTATCAGTATTACGTTTGCTAGCACTATCAATTTCTCAAAAACAACGCCTCCTTCATGGTGCTTTGATTTTTTTTTGCAAAGAGTGCATATGAATTCATGTATTATATCTAAATAAAATGTGAAGTGTACTCAAAATAAAATTCTATCGTTGCTATAAATTAAATTATTCTTTGTATCTATTACACCTAAGTAAAGTATCTGAGGTCAGTTAAATTCCTGATTAATTTACTTCATTCACCTTAATTGTACATTTCATTTTTTTCTATTCAGAGGTTTTTTCACCAGCTACCAATGCTTTATTTTGAAAAGGGACTCCTGGTCCTGGCTGGTGGCTTGGACATTTTTTGTTTTTTTTTTTTTTTTTTTTTTTTTTTTTTTTTTTTTTTTTTATCTTCATAAAATATTTAAATAATAATATTTAATTATAAAAAATTATCTGACATAAATATATTTTTCCTTAAAAAGTCGTCCATGAAGACATTTCCCCATGTAGAGAGATATCCTAGCGCTGTAATATTTTAATCCAATATCTAGAGGTTAGCATACTACAGTGCGAAAGTACATCCAAGAGTAGTCTCCGTGTCTGTGAGATATGATTGGTTCAGATTTAAAGCATATTTCAGACTATCCAGCTAACTCTTAATTAAATAAAACTGCAGTTAAGATATTTTTAATTATAATATTTTGAACATAGTATCTATGATGCAATTGCAGTTCATGCATTACATCTGTCATCATATATCTGAAATTTCAGTTAATTTAAATATTAGTTTGTTGTAGTTGAAATAGTCATCATTTAGCTTTGTATTTGAGTTTCAGTTTGAAATGCAAATTTCATACAACACATATCAGAATCTATTATACTGTCATATCACTAGTATCATCTAATTACTGGCTATAAAAGGCATATTAAATCTGAAGTCAATCATCTACACAAATGATATGTGTCGATTTTTTTCCCCATTTAAATAGGGATATTTATAGATGCTTTGCTGAGTGCTAGATACAAATCAAGTGCCAACAATAGCAATGGTAATTCAGAAGACAAACAACAAGAATCGGCGTTATATTTACAAAAAACGCTGATTCTTGTTGTTTGTCTTCTGAATTAGTATTTATTTGACGTGTTATTGTGTCTTAATAGCAATGGTATCAATAGTTATGGGATGTGCCAACAATTAGCTGTCTGGTTGTTTCATGTTAATGCTCAGCTCTGTCACTATCAGTCCATATAAAAAAGTTAGCCACATGTCATATGAGACTGATTGATATACTTATTGCCACCTGCACACACATATAAAACATATTTACAAAATTTAAAACTAATTTTTTCAATAAATCCCTGGAAACCTGTCAAATAATTAACAGTATTCATTACTATGACAAGATTCATACCCAATATTCAATTTTAATTAAACAAACGGTAACAGAGAAAAATATATAATTAACTGAGTAAGAAAATGCATTTAGTAGCAATATTTAAAATTACTATAAAACCTAATGACAGTTTTTCTTTCTTTATATATATATACTTAAACAATGCATATTGGAAAAGTTTCTTTCTCTGCTTTAATGAATTACACAATATCTAGTTTGAAGAAATGCAAGCACTTTTTTTAGCAATACTTTTATAAACTCTGTTAGAACTGAACTATACATTTAATTGTTTTTGAAGATTGAATTGAAGTCTTTGTTTAGTGAATTCTTTCATTTTATATAAAAAAAAGTTTATTTCAAGTCACTCCATAACTGCATAACATCTGAACCTCGTGTTTTTTCCAGGATTCTTTTGTTTAATCTTTCTTCTTGTTCTGGTGAAAGCTCTAGTTTCCAGTTTCCTACTCCACCACTTCTTACAAAACTTCCGTCAAAACCATGTCCATCTTTTATGGCAAGGGCGTTATATTTTGCCCATGCTCGGAATCCACGTGGAGCCTTAGGATTGTCTGCATATTCTTCACAATGTTCAAGCATCTGTGTGAAAAGATTGTTTGTTGTCTTCTTCATGTATTCAAAACTGCTTTTGTGGACAATTTCTTCCAACAGTTCTTCATTATCTGCCAGAGCAGAAGAATATTCTTCTCCGAGAAACTCTGCCAGTTTTTTAATGATGGACTTTGGGTCTTTTTTCATTTCTTCAAATGTTACAAAAAATACGTTTCTGTCATTTTGATGTTCGTACCATGAAAGTAAATTATCAAAATAATCATTGAAGTCTGTTTTGCCTTCTATGAACAGATCAAAGAAATCATTAAATGTGCCGTCACTAAACTTGTAAGCAGGGAAGAGCCTGGTGTGATGATAGAAAGAAATGCAGCAATCTTTTGGGTTTCTTGCAACATAGACATATTTAGCATCTGGTGAGTATGGTGTTAAGTCAAAAGGAAAGTGAATTTTGATGCATCCTGGCCCTGGCATGTTCTTAATCTCCTCTGGGCCAAGCATTTCGAGAAAAGGACAAGATGCAAAATATTTCTCAATTGTGTCAGGAACTTGACCTTTGTTGAGAATTAGCATTACTGTTTGAATCATCCATGTTGTTCCACATTTTGGATATGTTGCAACAAAAACATCTTTTTCAGTGGGTTTATAATCAATTGCGGCTCTTATAATATCGGGCACGAAGCATTGACAATATCTATAACCATCAACTTCTATGTACTTCGGTATCTTCTTGATCTTCATGATTCAGATACCTATTAAATTTTTTTTTAATTAGAACAGAACTTCAAATGAAAAGAATATATTGTTTTAATATTTTTCTCAGTTTATATTAAATGTTATAAAAATACGAGTTTCAGAAAACCAAATTATTTATTAGTGTGTAGATATAAATATGCATTAATTTCTGTGTGCAGTAATTCAATTTGAAAAAACTAGGGGAAGGGAAAGCATTCGAATGAAAAAAAAAAATAATCAATAAAACTTTCGAGTGTTAGGTCTTGAAAATATTTTTTTAACTATGCACATAAAATGTATTAACAAAGATAGAAATTCTTACATTCCTTAATGAAAATTGTTTCAACAGAAATGTTTGAGCATCAAGAATTTCATTATTTTAAATTTCGGTGATGATATCCTAGCAAGTGAAAATAACATAAGTATTTCTGAAGAAACTCACAATGATATGAAATCCTGTGCTTCCTAATAGACTATTAGTTACGTAATGCCCGTTCAAAAGTTGTACTAATTTTTCCCCCCATTTGGAATATTAGCAGAAATATTGTGTAAAGACACTGTATAAGCTGTAAGGTATTTTATCTCTCCTAACCGCATGCCTTCGTTGTATAATTGTAAAGCACTCTGGCTAGCATCGGGAGGTTCCCGAGTTCGAATCCCGTCGAGCGCATAGCGGATTTTTTTCAATTTCATGCTTTGAAAACCTTAACGATCTCTACAAAGAAATGCGACAAAAGCTACACTGTTTTAAAGAATGTGTATTCTGATTTCTGAAAGAAAATGTGCAGTCAGCATATTTGCGCTAATGTTTCATTCCAACGACTGGTACAAAATATCGCCAATTGATGAGAATGTTTTAAATTTGTGAAAGAAAATGTGCAGTCAGCATTTGCGGTAATAGATCCAGGATAATCTACTAGCACAAAAAATACGAAAAGAAAAATTTTCTGTAGAAAATATAATGAAAGTTATTTATTATTTGGGATTACTTAGAATGGAGATGAAATGGACCTCAATCTCGGTGTGTATGGTTTGCAATGAATTCTTATCCAATCAAAGTATAAAACCATCGTTTCTCAAAACACATCCTGTATCTAAGAATACCAATTTAAAGGATAACTCTGAAGAATATTTTAAGAGGAAATTATCGAGTTCAAAAATAGTAAACAAGTAATGAAAGGTTTCGTTACTTCAAGTTAAAATGGCTTTGTTACCTAGTAAGCCTAAGAATTGCCAAGACTGGGCAGGCTCACTATATTGGAGAAAACCTTATACAGTCAAAAGTCGTTAATTTGGACACCCATAATCCGGACCTCAAAGCTTTAAACTTTCTGCGCATGCGTCGCGTTGACGCATGCGCATAGGCGTTTACTTGTGCGGGTAAGACCTTTACGGCTGCAAATATGCGTGCGCATAAAACGTTTACGCATGCGTGTTTAATGTATAACGGACGGTATAAGCTAAGCTAAAATTATCTAATTCAGTTCATGTTGCAGATTGCGTTGTTCCTTAATCTTCGAATTGGATCCGGCTTATTACTTTTTGCAGACTGTTAGAGTAATTTTATAAAAGTAAGCTTGAACTTTCGATTATATCAAATAGAATTTCCGTATATATTGCTCTATGTAAAGGATCTAAGCGAAGTATGTTCGAAATCTTTTATCATTTCACGTTGCTCGGCGGGGGAACGCCGCGGCGCGCAATAATTGGAAGTTGATCTGTCCGCCTATCGTTTCTTCAGGCAGATGTTTTTATTTTATTCGGCTATAATTCCTTACTAAATGTAGTATTTCATCTCGATGTACTCCGTCTTTGATATGATTAAAACAGTTCCTCGTCATTATAATCGCTTCCGAGAGTGAAGAAAGTAACACAGAGGTTATTGAAACGAAAAATTTCGATTGACAAATTAGTCGGTATCTCGACACAGCATTATAGGACTTGAACAGCGGAACTTTGTAAATTGAACAAGACGTTTTATGTCTGTTTATAGAAAAAAGAGGAAGTATTATCACATAAAAACGAAGCAATTTAAACAATTACATTGAAAGAAATGTTTAATAAGTAAACAAATTATGAAGCTTTTTTTTGTAAATTTTGATACCCTTTAGATCATAATTGTTCATTATTCATTTACGGTTTATAAAAAAAAAAAAAAAAAAAAAAAAAAAAAAAAAAAAATTCGGTTTCATATTATATTATTTTACATGCCATCTTACCAGATTTAAACTGATGATCTATAATCCGGAATCGCCGAAGTCCCGACGAGTCCGGATTAACGACTTTTCTGTATTTTTATACATTATTTGACATTAATTATTACTTTTTATCTATCACTTTTATGTTTCATTTAATCCCTTCTCCACTCTTTTCTCTCCTTAGCTGAAAAGTTAACCCAAATGGGCTATTAGTCTCAAAACGTGCTTTTGCATTGAATCATTATAAACTGCGTATTGCTTTTCGGATTTTTGCCACTAAACATTATCGCCCTGTATTATTTTGAAAGAAAATGAATAATGAAGAATCTGCATAAAATTATGAATGTTTTTCGCAATGTGAAAAAAAACGGCGGTACCTAGAGCCATCAAATTTTGAAAAACATAGGCCTTTTCCCGAATATGTGCACCTGGAAGCCCGAATTTCGAATTTGTTTTATTATCAGTTTCATATTTTGTAAAACTTTAATGAATTGTTTATTAACAAACTCAACGATTTGAAAGAGAGCACTGGCAAGTATGGAATAAAACATTTTTGTCTCTAACGCACGAGATTGTCTATCGAAAATTCTAATGATATGTTGTTTTTAAGCATTTTAATAGTTTGCTATTGAATTGAATTTTATGTGTCGTAAGTGTGAAAATTGTGATATTAATAAATAAACACACAAAACGTTAATAATAAAAGGTCAAAGGGGGAAAAAAACATTTTTGCTAGCCATCTTATTAAGAAAACTGAGCACTGATATGATAAACTGAGAAAAGAGTGAAAATATATAAAAATGTATGAAAACTACATCGGGAATTCTAAATTTTGTCAAATTTAATAACTATTTTGTGGTTTTGCTGTTGAACTGTATATAGCCAAGTGTGAAGAAAATGATGCTTATAACAAAGCTAAAAAGGCTGAAGAAATGGGTTCGCTGGAGTGAGTGCGAATAAGTAGACTGCTAGCTCAGTGAAAGCAAAAAACTCTAGCAAATTCTTCTAAGCGATCGTGAAAATCTAAAACCTTTTTTTTTTTTTTTTTTTTTCCTTAAATTTTTTCTGACGGCCATCCATAGAGTTATAGAACTTCTAATTAGTCCAAAGAGGCTTTATCCCTGAAGGACTATTGTTTTCGTTTTCAACTGCACCGTTCTTGACTATACTATATATTTAATTCAAGGCCTACCTAGGTAATCTTTATTTCTGAATTTCTTTCAGAGTTCCATCAGACAGTAAACTGTATCTGTAGGACTAAGTATCTTTTTGAAGCATAGCTGAAAACGAAATGAGATGCTTTTAAAGGATATTATTCAACAGATATTTAGCTTCTGAACTTTCTTTGGAAAATATATTAAAAGTGAGACCTTGCCCTCCTATAACAGGCATGTGCATTAAATATAAAAATAGGAGCAGAGGACATTTTCAAACTACGTAATACAAAAAATATTAGCCGTTCAGCTCTGATAGTGACAAAATAAGTGTTTACAGTAAGAATGAATTTAGCATCTTCATATTGTGCTATTTTAAGGCACGAAAATCTCTCTATTGTATTACTAGAACAAGTTCAGAGCTTTCCGCACATGCGATCTAGAAGCGATCTCCATTTAAATCAGCAAAACTTATAAAGGTGCAGTAATAAGAGTAATGAAATTTCTTCGAAAACAAAAGCTGCAGCATAGAATTTTTTTTTTTTTATTTATTTTTTTTTTTATTATTTTTTAAATCTTTCAGCGCATATCACAAATAGTAAAATAATAAAACTGACAAGTTTGAATAAGAGAAGAAAAGTAAACAAATTGTCCGGAAATATTTCCTATTGTTCAGAATGTTATAAACTGCAGTTCCTAAGTTTTTATGACTATCATAAAAGCGTAACATCGATTTTTCAGTTTGTTTCTCTTAGGAAGCATACCATGCTAGTGCACAATAGTAAAAGTACTTTTTTTCGAACCAGAGTGTAGCTAGGGTTTTTAGCGCCCAGGGACAACTGAACATTTCGCGCCCCCTACTGCTTGCCAAGGATGGAAAACATTTAATTCTAAAATGTTGTAACATCAGTTTGGCGCCCCTTGGATTCTGCGCCTCGGGACAGATGCCCCCCCTCTAGCTACGCTCCTGTTTCGAACAGAATAAGTATTGAAAAATATGAAATCAGGTAAAGTGTGTTGTGAAATTGTAATATATCCAAGCAGAAATACGAATAGTTTGGTTTTTATTATAAATTGGAATTCGTCAGCTTTCTAAATGAAGAGTTTTCTTCTTAAGTCTAACTGTCCTGAGATTTTACTTGATAAAATTTAGAAAAAATGGGACTTTGAATAATTAGTAAATAAACTTAGTATTAAATCCTGATAAAATAATTAAGAAGAAATATTTGAACAGATTGCTCTTTATTTTTTTCCATTGTAGAGTCATTAGGTTAATTGGAAGCAGAAAAGATGAAAAATATGCAACCGAATTCGCCGGGAATCGAACCACGGACCTCTGGAATACCGGCCCAGCGTGCTACCGTTACACCACGAAGGCACGCTAGAGAAGTGGGGGAAATACCTTATACCATCAGGTAGAAAATTTCCACATGAACTAATATCATGTATAAATATTGACAGTATTCAAAATATCTGAGCAAAACATTTACTAGTTTTGCGAATATCAGAATTCTCTAAGATAGACACCACTAAGGTTAATCAGCAATTGATTACCATAGTTATCCAAATAATTATATCTATGGATGCAAGGATTCTCAACCGGGAGGGATGTAGTCAGCCTTTTGTTTACCTGTTAAGTATTAAGTTTTATTTTATGAATATATAAAAAACAATTCTTTTATTCATATTTTAGTATTTATCAGCATTTTCCATACTTTTTGTTGTTTAATTTAAGTTAAAAATAATTTAAATCTAAATAAACGTACATATGTATTTTTTCGATTTTGGAAAGAAGTGTGATATTCTAGAAATGGTGAAAGAGGTGCATGGGGCAAAACAGAAATCAGATGTGAAAACTAAATTAAAAATATGATAAATTTAAATAAAAACATAAATAAAGTATTCATTTGAATAAATATTAAACTTTAATTTACATATAAATGAAATATATAATACTGCATTAGCAGTAAGGCACGACAACATATTGCAAAAGTAAATAATTTAAATTCTTCCTTAAAAATAAGAAAATTTTCTTAAATAGACGCACTGGGAGTGAAGAGACAAAGCACTGTTTTTCATTTTTCATATCTTAATATTATTTTGATTAACATTTATGATAAAATATTATCTTAAGAAATATTTTTGCTATTATTTTAATTAACATTTTTGATAAATTATTGTCTTAAGATATACTTTGATAAATGCATCCGTAATTAACTACGTATTTTTTATTTGCGGCAATAATTTAACAAACAAATGTGCTATGCAGATATGAGTAGCAGTGAAAATTTTTCGAAACAACCTTGTTTAAGTAGTTTATATAAAGCAACACTTGTAAAATGGCAAGAAGTATTTTAGACGGGTTTTCTAAATTGCCACCTTTCAGAAAAATTATAGCTTAAAACAAAAGTATAAATTAAGCAATTAATTTAAGCATTCGAATCTCATGCACCTGAAAATAAGTTCCAAGCTCCGCTGTATTGCCGGCAATTAACTTACAATATTGCAAGTTTTATTCCGGCTGTCTGAATTGGACGCTACGATGACCCTTGAAGTAGAGGAATGGATGAGTAAGATTGATGGTCAGGATTGCAGATTGAAAATAAGTTGTTTCTATGGCACAATATAATGGCTTATGATTTTGTAAAAAGAAGGGTGGAGAACAAAAAGGAAAACTGTAATTATCTAGTATAGAATATGTTTTAAGAAACACCTTTTAATAATTACAGCAATGCATTTATTTTAGTTAAAAAAATTGTAAAAGTAATAAAATAATGATTTAAGCTGTTAAGAAATATATTTATTATTTTTGAATCGGCTTGTTAAGAAATTACAAACTGATTGAACTCGAACAACAAAGATTTTAATATTTTTATACCCAATTTCATTATTATAGTTTGAAATACTGTGTATTTAACTACGATCCAAATATCATATAACATTCGAAATTATTTTCGGTACTAAAATGTACTGCTAAGAAAAGGAAATTTTACTCACGTAAATATTCTCTCTGCAGGTTACTATTACGAAATTTGATGGTTTGGTACTCGCTCTGTCACCATGTGACTATTTATATATATGTGCATATAATGCTTCGTTTTTATTACATCAAAACAGTTGCGCATGCGTAAATTATTATCGCTGAAACCAAAGAATGAAATAATCAAGGTTGTTCATATTGCTTTCTGTGCAACCGTAATTCCCTGAACTGTTGCATAGTTTTATGTTTCGAGTTTCTTTCGAGTTCAAGTTTTGTATTCTTTTCACGTACCGTCATCTCATTATCAGATTATAATCTTAATGCCTTGACTTCTATAGGATAGGCTATCTGCTCTTACTGAATGACCTCTGATACTGGGCGTTGAACTGCATTTTCACGTTGTAGAGGATATTCGAGGATTTCTATGTTTCCCTGAACATTACCAGTAACACTGTAGGCAGATTAATATCTTAATTGTACTTAGTTTGCTCTTTTCTATTTAACGATTATTGTGCCACTGAACGAACAATGTGCTGTTGTAAAATTCTGTCATGCGTTACACTTTTCTGAAACTTCGAAGAAGGCAAATTGCGCGCTTCAATGTAATTTATTTTGTTTATTAATATTAGTCGTTTAACCGCCGAATCCAGTGATGTTTGAAATTGAGAAAATTTCGCTGTTTTTAGGGGGGGGAGGAGACTTAATTTCCATTTGGTAGGTGATTCCATGTCTAGCTTCAACATTTATTCTTCCAATAATGAATTTATCTGTACCTCACGTCTGTACAGTGTTAAATTAATTAATTAATTGAATAGTTTCATTTTGAAATTTCAACTTATTGGATTTTAGCCATTATATTAGGAAATACATTAAGAATTACATTAGACTATATTAGAAAATTAAAAGGAATCAGAAGTGGCCCTGAAAAGTCACTTTGCAATAAATAATATATAATAATAGATTATTACTATTCTTTTGAAACAAATGCTTGAAAAAAATTATCTGTGCTCTAAATAGCATAATATTATCTGAAATATATAAGTCATTACAAAAAGTTAAAGTAAATAAAATATGCTGAACCGCTCAAACGTTTTCCTTAAGATGCTAATTTAAAAAAAAAAATTACTATGATTTTAGTTGTTATTTTGAAACAGAATCCATTTTATTTATTTATTTATCTTTGCTGAATTTAAAAAATTCATATTAAATTTTATTTTCCATAAATTATGAGTTTAAAATTAAATTTTTAATAGAAATATCAGCTTAACTGTTTTAGAACCATTAGATTTTATTTAAATACACAACACAGAAAAAAATTACATACATTTTGTATAGGTTTTTTTAAAACATGTTTTCTCTTCAGACCTTTCATTAATTAAAATTCTTTCGTTGATCAAAAAACATTCACTTCAGTTTTGTAAAAAAAAAAAAAAAAAAAAAAAAAACTTATATTGACCTTTTTCTGTTCAGTTGACTGCAAATAATAACATTCAATTGGTCTTTTAAGTTATAAATATATCTTCAGAAATATATTCTTGACTTTCTACTTAAAGAATATTTCAAGCCTTTTACTGCCTGTTCATAAGCAGGAATAGTTCTTGGTTCCTTTTCATCTTCGTTTCCTTATTAACCAAATTTTCATTCTCTGGCTGATATGTTAATCAGATACTATTTTGCGCGACATAATATTATTACCCACATGTGCATATTTGTTAGGTTACGCGTGCCGCAACATCATATAAAATACCGCATAATTTAATATTATAAAAGTAAAAGATAAACTTTTTAATTTATTCAAATGTTTATTTAAGAATTAAAGTGTTTTTTGACATTGAGACAATTTTTTTATTATTTTTGACGAATCAAATCTATAATTGCTACATGCTACTTAGTGCATCATCAAAATCAGGTTCTTCCTGATTTGCTTGACGATGTTCCACCAAATGTGTGGCACAACATGTGATTCCAACATGATGGAGCCCTTGCTCATTTTGGACTGAATGTTTGCAGCTATTTGAACAGATCATTCCCGCATCGATGGATTGGGCGTGGTTGACCAGTCCCTGGCCCCCATGCTCACCAGATTTATCGAGCCTTGATTTCTTTTGATAGTGGGAAACTATCAAAAGTGTCGTGTATCACGAGCAGCTATCAAAAGTGTCGTGTATCACGATCCTGTTGTGTCTGAAATGGATCTCGTGGCAAGACTCGCCTACGCAGCTGCTACAATCAAACTCCCGGTGTGTTTGAACATGTCCCTCAATAAATGGTCCGTCGCGTCAGGCATGTTTGACGTCTGATGGTGCAAACTTCGAGCATTTGTTGTAACATTCAAGCTGTCGTACACCATTTGTATTCATGTCCAAATAAACGTTTCAAATTAATCACTCTTGTTTCTTTTCCCATCTTCTACCTCTGCTACCACTTACCCCTGACATTTCCAGGTATAGGTTCTTATGCAGTTCTTAATACTTATGATGTGCCCTACCTCCCCTAAAGTTTGTCGCAACATTTACGGTACACCCTCTATAAATATACCGATTGAAAATGCTGGTTTATGTTCTGTGGTCCATGGTTTGTAACATGGATCAGTCATTGTCAAGAAATCTATTTTCACATTTTTGAAAGGATCGATATTTTCCGAATGTGCTGCACAATTATCCAAAAAAAGTAAAATTTTCCTGTGTGCGTGTTTTATATATATATATATACATTTTTTTATTCAATTAAGATAAATATTTTTTTATTCAATTAATATAATTCTCAAAAGTCATCCATGCTTCATTGTTGCCTTCATATTCACTGCACGCTAATGTTTCATCATTTTTTAAACATCGGTGAGTTTTTTCGCCTTTCCTAATAAAATTGTTAAGCTTTGACTGGGAATCTAACATATTTTATAAATTTTGTTTCCTGAGGGAAAGATTTATAGCGTAACCACTGGAAGATTTATAGCATAGGCTTCCTATCGTGATTACTGCAAGGAATTTTCTCCCTCTTCACGCCGTACCTTTATGATGTAATTGGAAGCACATCCGGCTAACATTCACGAGATCAGGAGTTCGAATCTCAGCGAGGGCACCGCTAATTTTTTCTGCTCCGAAATAAAACTAATGACTCTACAAACATGACACCTTGTCTGGTAAGCGGCGTCCGAACTAAAAATATGGGAACAATAATTCAACATCACCTGGATTTAGCGCCTGGTTCTCTTCTCCTCACTCCCTTTTTAAGTGGAAGAGAATGTAAGGAATTTTTTTCCTTCTCATCGCGTACGTTCGGAATGTAATTGGGAGCAGTCGGAATATCTAGTGTATTAATTCCGGCGAGAACACTGCAGCTTTTTTTCTATTTCCAGCTCCAATAAAATGTAATGGCTGTAGGCTTAAACTTCTAGTGGCACCTTTGCGCCACTAGAAGATTAATTTGGTAGCCGAAACAAAATGTAATGACAACTTTCAGCGCAATCACTTCCTTAAGACAACCAATGTTTCTGATAACGTATTTAATCATCAACGATATTCTATAAGGCTCCCACACCCACAGACTCCTGAATCATCTGAAACCGTCACTTGTATTTCAAAATTAAATTAAAGGTAAGAACAAATAAATTCGCCTACCTTTTCAGTGCATCCGTTGCACTGGACAGCGGTTGAACTTTCTTCTTTTGTAAATCTGTCTTACGGAATGGTACAAGCTTGTGCAAAATAACATGTTATGAGGATACATTCGAACATACATTATACGAAGAATTAAAAAAAGTTACACTGTTGCCTTCGACATTATTTAGTTCTTATGCACCTTCGACCTTCAAAATCACGGAGCAGCGTGCTGTCCTTTCGGTTTTCGAGCGATTTGCTCTAAGTTCAGAGTTTGAATATGTTGACGTTACTGTATGGGAGTCTTGAGTAGGGACACCATGTCTGGTAATTCCCTTGTAAGTTGAGACATTTTAGAATTCTTTCAAATGTGGTGGCTAGAAAAGTTGTCTGTATATTAATTCTGTGGTTTCCACCATCAGTAACTTGAACACAAAATAATTTTCCGTAAAATGTCCTCTACCAAATTAATCCCTCTTATGCAGAAAAATCTTGAATCCTTTGCTGAAAAAAATAACTAACCTGCGTACCTACTATTCATTTTATGAATAGTTGTGGGTATTTCTTGCCCCCAAAGATAGTATGTCTTAAAATGTAATGAACGCCGGCCTGACGGGATAGTGGTCTGCGTTCCTACTATTCCTGTTATAAATAGTTGTGGGTATTTCCTGCCCGTAAAGATAGTATGGGCGTATCCTTAAAATGTAATGAGCGCTGTCCTGACGGGATAGTGATTAGTGACACTGATTAACATACCGAAGTGCCTGGTTTCGAATCCCAGAGAAGGTATGGGTGTTTGTAACTCTATAGTGTCTATACAGCATGGAGGCTTTTTAAATATACGGCCAGATGAAAGTCCTGTGTAGTGGTCTGGTGGCAGGGGAATAGGGACCCTCATATCTGTCTCTCGGGGTGTTCTCCTTCAAAATTGGAACGGAACTGGGAAAAGTCGTAACTTCATATGTATGATGCTCTAAGCTCATGTCAACGATAGATACAATCTTGCATTCCTTGCATGTTTGCAGCCATAAAATTAGTGGGCTAGTTCTGATTAGGTCAGGCAAGTGAGATTAATTATTGTAATTAATCAAATGTAATTCGGAAGAAAGTACCGACTTATATCTTAATAGTAGGATTAATAAATTTCTTAAGAACAAAACTGTTAAATCGAATGATATTAAAAAGAGATTTATTAATATGAATTTTTCTAACCAAACTTTGATTACAATAAAAGTTCGATTAGCCTGGCGTCCAATAATTTGGTAGTCCGATACCTAGTATTTCTGCTGTAAGATGGCGCTATTAGCATTTCATTCGGGAGTGTTCTGAATAGCTGTGCCACTTGATTCGCACTTTTTAATCATCTTCCATAACTCTATTGTTCAATATTTCAAATTTATGTACCGTTTGCTTTCTTTACCGTCTTTAATTTAGAATGTTTATAAAATTTGGTCAAAATATTGATAACAGAATAAAACAGAAATTTTAGCAATTCACCAAAAGGTATATAATATTAATCCAATGTATGAATCAAAGAATTTCAAAACCTGAAATGTAAATATTGCAATAAA